TATATATATATGAACCCCATTGGGATTAAAATTCCCCTAGTGGCATTCTGGCCAGAGACCAGTTCTTAACCTGCCTCATAGTGGGACTTCGCAAAGCTGCTCTTAAACCAGTAAACTCTTCTAAACTCGCAGAGATTTTTCAGGACACTAAGGAAAATCCTTCTGCATTTCTTGACCGACTAACCAAAGCTATGTTACAGTTCACAAACATGGATCCAGAATCCACTGAGGGCAGACAGCTCCTGATGTTCCATTTCATCAACCAGTCCTACTCAGACATCAGGGGAAAACTTAGACGTTTGCAGAAGGGCCCCCTAACTCCACAGGCGCAGCTCCTGGAGATGGCTTTCAAGATTTACCACGCAAGAAACAACAAAGCCAAAAATCACTGCCACGTGATTACTGCACCTGCCCGGCCAGCCGAGGTGACAGACTCCACTGCCCGTCCTGTTCGCGCTGCCCCCCGCCCCCCGGACCTTGTTTCAAATGTGGTAAGGCAGGTCACTGCGCAAAGGGGTACCACAATCCTCATCATAACCCACGGGGCCCCTGTCTTAGGTGTCTCAGGGAGGGCCACTGGTCCGTGGACTGCCCTTGTGCATTCGATGATGCGGGGGCAACGGGCCCAGAGGTTCCCCAGGCCGATTTGCTGGGCCTGGCCATGGAAGATTGAAGGTACCCGGGAGCCATTGACAACCCAACCGCCACGCCCATCTGCAACCAGGAGCCACGGGTATTTCTAACTGCGTCGGGCTGCCTCATCTCAGTTCTCTTGGACACCGGGGCAACATACTTGGTTCTAAGAGAATTTTGGGGGCCAACCTCTCTTTCAAACTCCCCTATTGTCAGGGTAGGAGGACAGCCTTATCTACCTCACCAATCTCCACCTCTCAATTGCGTATTTAGAGGTATTTTTCTCACTCATTCATTCCTAGTTTTACCAACCTGCCCAGTTCCAATCTTCGGGAGAGATCTTCTGACCAAGTTCGGAGCCTTCATTTTTTTCGCGCCCCCAACTCATTTCATTTCAGATTTGTTGGTGACACAGCTGCTTCTTCTCCTGGTCCCGCAATCTTCTGATACTAACATGCCTTTTTCTCTTCCAGCCTCCCAAGTGGACCCTCTCGTGTGGGACACCCAGAATCCCGCTGTCGCTAAACACCATTCCCCTGTTGTTATTCAGTTAAAAAACCCCACCGAGTACATCACCCAAGCTCAGTACCCCCTCTCTTCCCAAAGCCTCAGAGGGTTAAAACCTATAATCTCTGACCTTTTGAGAAAGGGGCTGCTTCGTCCCACCTCTTCCCCCTTTAACACCCCGATATTGGCTGTCAAAAAATCTAACGGAACTTATCGTTTGGTTCAGGACCTCTGGCTCATCAACTCTGCTGTGGTGCTGTTGCATCCAGTCGTACCCAACCCCCTCACCCTTCTGTCTAACATTCCTCCAGGGACCTCCCACTTCTCTGTCTTGAGCCTCAAAGATGCCTTTTTCTCTATTCCTCTCAGCCCTCAATCTCAAAACATCTTTGCTTTCACCTGGACAGATCCTGATACTAATTTCTCTACACAGCTAACCTGGACTATCCTCCCTCAGGGATTCCAAGACAGTCCACACCTCTTTGGCCAGGCTCTGGCCTCTGATCTGCTCTCTCTGTCTCTCCTTAAATCAAAGCTGATACTCTATGTCGATGACATCCCGCTATGTAGCCCATCTTTGGAGACCAGCAGGACTGATACTGCTGCCTTATTAAACTTCTTATCCAAAAAGGGCTACAGAGTCTCACCTTCTAAGGCCCAATTGTCCACCACTCAGGTAATGTATTTGGGATTAACCATAACCCCAACACAAAAGGCTATCACTCTGGACAGAAAAAGACTAATTCAATCTCTTGCAGTTCCTTCCACCAAAGAAGAGGTTTTATCATTCCTGGGAGTGGCTGGTTTCCTGCGTTCCTGGATAGCCTCCTTCTCCCTCCTTGCCCACCCCCTATATGAAGCAGGTCTTGGCTCCCTACATGAGCCCCTTCTCCACCCCATCACCAAACCTTTCCGGAGACTTCAACAGGCCCTGACCCACGCCCCAGCTCTCCATCTTCCGGATTTAACTCGCCCCTTTTCTCTTTACGTAGCAGAAAAGGAGGGCTATGCTCTGGGAGTCCTAGGTCATCAGCTGGGACCCTCCTTTGCACCTGTAGCTTACCTGTCAAAGAAGATGGACCTCACCACTTGGGGCTGGGCACCCTGCATATGTGCTTTGTACAGCTGCTGAACTTCTTATTCATGAGTCAAAAAAACTAACCTTCAGAGCACCCACTATGGTTTTCTCTCATCATAACCTGTCCAACCTCTTAACCTACAAAGGCCTACAGAACCTACCCCTTCTCGAGTTCTTTCCCTTCAGGTGGAGCTGGTGGAAGATACGAGCCTCACATTTCAATTCTGTCCACCCCTTAACATCTCAAATCTTCTACCTCAACCTAATGCTAATGATTAGGATAATCCCACTCCTGCATTGAGGTCCTAGAGGACCTACTACCTCATCCCTCACATATACAGGAGGGCAGTCGATCCCAGGCTACTCATACCTGGTACACGGACAGCAGCTCCTTTCTATGTGATGGGACTCGCAGAGCAGGTTATGCCATAGTATCAGACACAGAGATAGTTGAGGCAAAGGCACTCCCTACTCATACTACTAACCAACAGGCTGAGCTGATAGCTCTCACCCGAGCCTTTCAGTTAGCCACGGGACAGTCTTTAAATGTCTACACAGATTCCAAATATGCGTTTCATATCCTGTTGTCTCACGCGGCCATCTATTACCAACTCAGAGTATATTATGGACTTACTAAAAGCTTCTCATCTCCCTAAAGCTATAGGAATTATTCACTGCCGGTCTCATCAATCTGACAGTTCTATTGTCTTCAAGGGAAACAACCGAGCTGACAGAGCAGCTAAGATGGCAGCACTCCAGAATACAGGCCTGCCTCAGCTACCTCAGGGAGTACTTACAGCACAGCCCACAGCCTCACAGACACCTCCCAACACCCAACAGATCCTGTCCTACCTACACCAGCTTTTTCATCCCAATGAAAAAGCCCTACTTCATTTTGTAAAAACACATATCAAACCCATACCTGAGGATATCAGGTTTCTAAAAGCCACCACTGCTTCCTGTCAGATCTGCCAAAAGTCATTTCTCCCAGATACCCTTGTGCTTCTCGTTAAAAAGCGAGCTTCCATGAGGCCTCGCTCTCTTGCCCTTCACCCTCTTGTGTCTTGCACACCTGTCCCTTATTGTGCCCCCCCATTAAAGAGCACCCACGTGGGTGCCGCGTGTCTGTATCTCCTCCTTTTTGTGCGTGTTTTGTCTGTCCCGTGTTTGTCTCCACACACACATCCGCTTTAAAAGAATAATAGTATATATACCCAATTCCCTTTCGTTTTTTCAAGTCCTCCATATATCCTTCTCTGGTCTCTTTCATTTCATGTCCTTTTAAAATTAATTATAGCTATACATACATGTATATTTCTAAATACATAAATACATTTCTCTGAGTCTGTAGAAAGTTCCATAAATGCTCCAGGGACTGACCATTTGGTACAGCATACCAAGTAGACTATGTCTCCTGCTCTCAGCTCTCCTTAGTTGGTTTAAAAGAGCTGTTCTTAGAGTTGAAATTATAAAATTTTCTTACAATGACTGAAAAGCACATAGGACATAAAGTAACCATACTCCAAACTTTCAGAAATAAAGACTGCTTAAAAATTCCAGTCTTTCCATTTTTATTACCTATGTCATATAACCATATGACAGTGTGGATGCTAATATAGTCCTCGCTCTTTGATAGAAACACACTAGAAGCCCTAGTCCTTATTTAAACATTCTTTGTTAATGTGAAATCTTTAGCCTGCACTTACAAATATTTTAAGGTATTTTGACAGAAATATTTCAAATTCTATTTAAGTCCTCTAAAATTTACAGCCACAAAGTCCTTCCAAATTCCTCTTCAAAGAATCATTTTGAGTAAAGCCACATATTAAATGAAATAGTCTTCTGCATTTTGACTATATTCAAAGATTCTCATTGTTGTGTAACAGGTGAAAGGCATAATGAGTCCTAAGGTTCTGTTTGCACCTTTGGCGTATGATTTCCAACAGTGGTTACTCATTCTACATCTAATCAGTCCACTGCATCACTGTCCTTTTTATTGCACAGTGCTCTCACTCCATGTCATGATTCAGCAAAACTCTTACAGAGCAAAATATATTTGTAAAGAGAAAACTGAAAGGATTTTTTTTCTTTACAATTTGCAATTTAGTTTCTTAAGAGTCAAAAATTAAGAAATCAATTGTCATGTTTCTAATACTGTCTCTCTGTGTGTTACTGTGTGCATAGTCTAAGACATCTGACTGTTCTAAAAATGTCTGATTGGGCGCTGAGCACCATGCCATCTGTCTGCGCTCTATGTGCTAGAATCCAGTTCGTGAGCTTTGGGCAAGGGGCATGGAGGTTAAGGAAACACAGGCAGAGACAGACCGACACATGGACCTCCAATCGCTGGTACAAAAAGCCCTTCTTTAATAGCATCATGGAGGCTTAAATAGACTTTAAGCTGGACTCTCTTGCTTGTCCTACCAGTTAGACTTTGTTTTTCAGCCAGCTAAGTGTGACATGCCTACCAGAACTTTTCCACTTCTTTTCTTTGTGGATGAGGAGCTGTCTCTCTTGGCTACACTTAACATTGCAGCATGGGGCCCGACAGATTCTTTCCCATTCTCAGGATTCCCTAGTTTGTACACTTCAGGAAAGACTAATATTCTAGGTAGGAGTTTCTCCCATTTGCGCTGGGGGTGAGAACAGTGAACACAGCACTGACATCTGTATATAGAGATCACTATACACTTTCAAAGCACACTCAGCCATTGACACGCTGCAGGGGGGATGAGGTGAAGAAGTCAAATGTTTTGCTGGTGCTTCATAGTTCTCAGTCCCAATGATAGTGCACCTCAACTGACAATGGTGGCTGCAGAGGCTGGCCACCTGGTGATGTAAGGCTTGGGTTTATAAAACACATAGATAAGGTAATGAAATTGGCATCTAGCTACTGAGGATCATGTTGATTTCTAAGCATGACCTTTAGAGTGTGAGCCAAACCTTCCACTTGAATTTTTCAGTTAACAACACCAGGATTGCCTCCTCTTTGTGACTAACTCCTTTCCCCATCTCACCAAGGCTCCAGGTTTTTTGAGGTAAGAATGTTCACTGTTATTAGGTCACCAGCATGGGTCTATATTAAATAACAGATTAAATGTCATGATGGTTGCTGACCAAAATCATCACATCAGAGAAGTTACATCTTACCAGAATGTACGACTGGGTTCAAGGCTTTCAGGAGCTGTGAGATTACCCTTCAGCAAGACTGTCAGTCTCTTTTCTCTGACAAGGAGGCTTAGCTAAGTCTTATGCATCCTCTCTCACTAGGAATTTGCTACAGCAGTGAGTACCTTACCTTCTGAATTCCTGTGGGTACCATATTTCAGTCTACCTGTGTTTCTTAGGTAACCTATTACCCTATCTCTTGCTATGTGACTGTCAATGTCTTTCCAATCTTTCGCCCTTGGAAAGACAGTATAAACTTCAATGTCACACTCTACTTGTTCCCATGTCATATGTAGTAACCTCTGAATTACTGTTTTAGACAGGGAGTTTCAGACTTAGACTTTCATATCCCAGATATACTATTTCTTTTAAAAGAATGGATGAAACTGACATCTACATAGCATTTGTAATTAGTCTGGCAAATAAATATGAGCTTATATAAATATAAGTATCTAGGAAACTACCAAAAGTCAAAATTTCAATTGCAGACACAGTTGCAAATCTAAAGATTTTCATGTATTATTTGTAGAATAATATTAGAATATTTTGACTTAAAACATCTAATTTAATTTAGTTTTTACTTTTTTATATGAGTATCAAAATCTAAAGATAAATGAATGGTCTGAAGAGGAAATAGCATATGTGTATATAAAAATATTTTAATATATGATATTTGGTGTTTAATATCTCATGTTAATTATATTTAATATACCATATTAATATAATACGTAAAATAACATGTTCATGATTTTATATCACATATCTTAAATGTTATAAAAATTCTCAATAATACAGAAATTTAACACTTTTGAACTATGGGTGGCTTATAAAGAAGATAGCACATAGAAGTACATTTATATGTTTTAGGTTGTTTGTAATAAAAAAGTTATTCATATATTTTTCTTATTCATTATATTCAAAGCAAAATGGCATTCTTAGAAATTGATCTATTTATACCAAAGTTGTTAAAACAGAACCCCAAGTTTAAAATAGTTATGTTCTACTATAATAGATATTTAACATTTTTTTTGTTAAAAATTTCCCATGTTTAAAATGGCTAAGGGCATTTAAATTTCTGTTTGGGCTGAAAACTTTTTAATGACTATTTTTGTATCTCTGTTTAAATGGAGCTATTATACAAGTGGTATACACTTGGTATGAGACAAATAAGGCTTATTAGTGGTCACTGATGCTGTTTTAAAGAGAAACTTATAAGAAATGCAAAATTTCAAAGATTTTAAATTTAGCTCCAAAATAAATGAATAAATGACTGGATGAACAAATAAACACCTTTGTATAGTTATAGTGTACCCTTTTACCTAATTCTTTGTATACTTATTGTGGTCTATGATTCAAAAATATAAAACTTGAAAGGCTCTGTGAGTGGTGTCATCCAACTAAATCACTTTTCAAGGGGGCACACATGTCTGTTTCATCCAGCACCACTATCTGAGTATCCCAGCTGGGTTCTGAGTGGTCCCAGCTGAAATGACCACTCCCGTGGTGTGCAGTATGTACAACTATGTACTGTGGTCAAGATGTGGTGCCTTGTGGGTCCAACTCCTCCTGAAAGATGTTCTATTAAATTATAAATCTTTCTCCTGAGGACCATTTTGTCTTCTGGCTGTCCTGTAACCACAGCTGTTTTTTCTCCAAGTTCAACATTCCTAGGGAGAACCTAATTTCTTGAGGTCTGTTGTTTCAATAGTTTGATAGCCCAGGAAGGGACAAAAGCATCTTTGTAGAATGTCCTAGTTTCTTCAAGCCTGTAATAACAGCTCATTGTTTCTTGTGTTGTATGATCAAGTAGAAGCTTCATCACAGCAGAAAGCTTTGCAAATTAAACACACATAGGCTCAGGCATGAGGTTAGCTCTGAGAAGGACTGGCCCATGCCTGCACCCACAAACAGAAAATAAATTACAATAGGTGGTGGAAGTTGAGTCATCTTAAGTTGGCATTTTCAGGGGAGCATACACAGCGAACTTTTATATTTTATGAGTAATTAAAATCCTATACATATTTTTGAGCCTTCTATATCTTAGGTGGAACCCTAAGAAAATGGGGTCCTGAGAAAAGCAGGCCTCTTTCCTAAAAGGGCCCA